CAATAATTAAAGAACTTGCGCGCTTATATATAGTTCGAGATGAGACGCCATATTATTCTTATTATTACTTTGATCTATTTATGCATTGGTGCACTTGCTTTGAATGAAAAGACAAAATTACTTATTTGGTTGAAGAATGTCCTCCTCCGGTGGTTGCTAAGAATGATTATTGTTTGAATTCTTACTTGTTGCATTTGATTTAAATGTGTCTCCATGTTCTGAATTTGAGCAAGTTCAACATGATTTTGTCTTGCATCTTCACACCTTATTCTGTTTCATCCCCTTAACATGAGGATAAAAATATTTAAATCGTCAAAAAATGTAGAGAGATTGTTTGGTTGGCTCTAGTAAAGGGAACAAATGCACACTATGCCTTTCACCCACACAAAATGTATAGACATGGGAAGAAACTTGAAAGTACTTTTTTCTCAAGTGTTACTCGATATACATATTATTCATGGTTTCAATTTTAATTCTTAAAATGCATTTTAGTATCTACATATGTATGTGATGGGAAGTAAAATGTATTACTGATTTTTAGTCTACCTTAACGGACTTCAAAATATTTTGAAGTCCGGTCAGGTAATCAGACTCTTGAGTCCGATTTTATTTACCCCTACCTCCCAGTCATGTGGCAATGGAAATTCTTTTTCCTTCAAAGTGTTATAATTTTATATCAAATTAAGTAATTATTAATGATATTTCAAATGGTACCAATATTGCATATAATTTTTTTGAAAAAAATATGTCTTATAAATGATCTATTTTATCATTTTTCTTTAAAACATGACATACCCAGGATTCATATATTAGAAGCTGTTCCGTTCACCTGATCTGAATGTTTCTGATCTGAATTTTTTAAGTTCTGATCTGATCTGATCTGAATTTTTCTGATCTGATCTGATCTGATCTGATCTGAATTTTTCTGATCTGATCTGATCTGAATTTTTCTGATCTGATCTGATCTGATCTGATCTGAATCTTTCTGATATGATCTGAATCTTTATGATCTGATCTGAATGTTGCTGAACTGATCTGAATGTTGCTGATCTGATCTGAATGTTTCTGATCTGATCTGAATGTTTCTGATCTGATCTGAATTCTTCTGATCTGAATCTTTCTGATCTGATTTGAATATTTCTATAATTGCAATTATAATTATAATTATAATTATTAGATTTATAATTGTAATTAAAAATATAACTTAAATAAAATTACAATTATAATCATAATTATAAAAAAATAATAATTAAAATTAAATTTAAAATTATAATAATTATACCAATTACACTAATTATAAATACAGATACAATTATAAATGTAATTATATTTTTAATTATGATTAATTTTATAATTATTTTTTTTTGTAATTATAATTATAATATTTATCTCTATAATCATAATTATATCTATAATTACTAATTTAAATATATAATTACTCCGAAGTAATAATAATTACAAAAATAACAACAAGAACAACAATCATATTAACAATAATGATGATTATAATTATAATTACATTGTAAATCATAATTATAATTATAATTATAAATATATTATATTATATTATATTATATTATATTATATTATATTATATTATATTATATTATATTATATTATATTATATTATATTATATTATATTATATTATATTATATTATATTATATTATATTATATTATATTATATTATATTATAGTATATTATATTATATTATATTATATTATATTATATTATACTATACTATACTATACTATACTATACTATACTATACTATACTATACTATACTATACTATACTATACTATACTATACTATACTATACTATACTATACTATACTATACTATACTATACTATACTATACTATACTATACTATACTATACTATACTATACTATACTATACTATACTATACTATACTATACTATACTATACTATACTATACTATACTATACTATACTATACTATACTATATTATATTATATTATATTATATTATTATAATATAATAATAATTTTATATTATTAACATTATTATTATATTATTATTAATAATATTATTATATTAATATATTAATATTATTAACAATAACTATAATATAATAATCATAATTAATATAATAATAAAAGTGATAAATCATGTTTGAATAACTATAATTAATTATAATATAATTATATGATCTGATCTGATCTGAATGTTTCTGATCTGATCTGAATGTTTCTGATCTGGTCTGATCTGGTCTGAATCTTTCTGATCTGATCTGAATGATGCTGATCTGATCTGAATCTTTCTGATCTGATCTGAATGTTTCTGATCTGAATCTTTCTGATCTGATCTGATCTGAATAAAATAAGATTAAGGAATAAGTAATAAGATTAAGACGAACGGAACAGCTTCTTAATACGATATGAAAGATTATAAAAAATTATAAATTCTATACTACCTCGGTCCTAAATTGTTTTGCAAAGGTAACATTTTTTTGTCAACAAGTGTAAAGTTAGAGCATCTCCAATGGGAGGTGGATTGCCAAAAAAATGTCATCCACCTCACCCAATGGACCCAATGTGCTCTCCAATGCAAAACCAAAAAAATGAGGTCTATCCTAAGTGGCAATGACCAAGGTCCAAGAGTAGGTCTATATTGGGACCTTGGGTCTCACCCCCCCCCTCTCCGACAAGGTGTTTCCCATGTGTTTTGCGCTTGAAATTTGTTTAGCATTGAAAACCTATTTGAATGGACCCTCTCATTTTAAATGGGCTCTTTCCATATAATTTCCACATCATCTCCAATGCACCCATTGCATTGGAGTTGCTCTTAAATCCACCCTACTTATATTTAATTCAGTTCGAATACTTAAAATTTGCATATTCAGAAACTATATTAAAATTTCTATAAATTTGCAAAATCCAAATTAAAATTTAGTTAAGAAATAATGAGCTAATTAGGTAAATAAAATAAATCTATTTAACTTATAAAAGTATATCTTACAACTCAATTTGGGTCGGAGAGAGTATAATTTTTTTTAAAAATTGGATCATATATGAAAATATTAAAACAATTGTCATGACACATGGCAGATAAAGGTGAACATCCCCTCCTAAGAAGGTGAACAAAATTGATTTCCATACTTCTATACTTTAGTACTCCATAGTCCATACTAATTAAGCCTATTATGGTCTGAACCGGTATAATTAATCTAATTAAGTAAACATACATTTGATATGATATGCATACGTTGAAGTAAATTCATCCTAACTTGAAATTTGATGTTTGGTGTGAATTCTGGGAGCATTTTGTTAGTATCACAAAATAAGTTCATCACAAAATACTAAAAACATTATACCAAAGGGATTATGCCTATTAGAGTTAAAAATGAAAAAATTTACTTGACAAAATCTATATATTAGAATCAACTATGTAAAATGGTAAAGAATGTCAGAGTATTCCCAATCTTTTATCCTCTTTTCTTGACATAGACTTAGTTTACCTTTTTTATAAGGGGTTTTCCCTTAATATTACTCCGTACTAAATTAAAGCTATTTTCTAAAAAAGTGACCACATTTATATTTGGACAAAAATGTGATTAAGATAAAGTGACAGACAAGAATTCATGTCACTGTCCAATTTTTATGTCACTTTCAGATGTCACTGCCGCCATGTCACTATCGCCGCCATCACCCGTGTCACTGCCATCACCGTCGTACACCACCGCCGGCCACTGTAACACCGCAACCGCCCAGTGACACACAAGGCTGTCGAAACTGGCATACAACTGACACTGCAAAACCACCTACTGCCCCTACCCCTTCCCAATTTCCATGCCCCTGCCACCATCACAGAGATGAGAGACCCAACCACCTCACCGCCCTTTCCCCCATCCATCGCCGCCGCCCCTGAACCGTACACAACCGCTCCCCTGACCTTTACACCGGTGCCGCCCCTGCCACATCCACCTTGCCGCCCCTGTCCTAGCCATCGCCGCCACACCAACCTGTTATTGTTCCCTAACCTCATGACTCGTTCCCGATCCCAACCCCCAAGGCCCCAACCCTTATCTTTCCCTCAGCTCCCTCTCTGGCATTGAGGATAGCGGATCCCGCACCGCTTACCCTAAATCAGGGTCCTTGTCCATCGAGATTGGTGAATCTGGAACTGGAAGCCCCAAATCGCACAAACGCACCAGCCCCAATTCGGCCCCAAATCGCATAGATCCCGCGAAGGAGCAACCATGGAGGACGACAGAGAAGCTCTCCAATTTCAAGCGCAACGGCGGAAGGAGGGCAACTGCAACAAGAGAGCGGTGGTGACGGAGAAGAGTCTGCTCTGCTGGACAGGTCAGCCCGACCCGGGACACAGCCCAACTTGAAACTGTGCAAACCCGACCCGACCCGGTGAGCTTGGAAGTTGGAACGGGCCAGGGGCCCAACCTAAGAATTCAATAGGTGGTCTACGGGATCTACATGCTTAGTAAATAAAAAAGTTTAAAAGTTTCTTGATTTTTTAGGGAAAATAACTTTAAATAATACAAACTATCTTCCGTGAACAAAAAATAATACGTACTTTAAAAATAAGTTTTAATAATACCAACTATTTAAATATAGACCAAAAGTGATATAGAACATATTTTACTAAAAATTCAACCATTTAACTCATCAAGAACTTGTATAAAAATATCTAATAAGTCAATATATTTCCGAATATCTCTTATTTGATGGGCTGTCATTAGCTTTTCATGTCTTAAATGATCGGTTTTTTTATTAAAAATTGACTCCATTTTATTTTTGTTTTACATTCAAATAGTTGATATTATTAAAAGTCATTTTCGAAGTTTGTATTATTATTGGTTCATGGATGATAGTTGATATTATTTAAAGTTATTGTTCCGTTTTTTTAACATTTTTTCACAGTGAGAGCTGAACCCTAGAGGCCAAGACTCCACAATCAGAAGTGTGCACCTCTACTGCTATAGCAAGTACCAACCATGCTCATCCCATAATAATATTTTGCAAATGTAGCATAGGTCATGTGAGTACCATTCATACTGCACTCAAATTGCGTCTAACAAATTGCATTATGGTACATCAAATTTTTAGAGGACGTCTAATAAGCGGGACCTCAATGAAAAAACAACTCAAATTTATGAAAAGAAAAGTACATGAACAACCCGATTAGTACATGTATACTATAACCAACTACAGCTTTGGCACTTCCCTGAGCCTTAGCGCCTTACAAGTTTACGGAACACCTTTTGTTTTTACAGAATCGCTTTCTAAGGTGAAAATGAGAAAGAAAAACTACAATGTAATAATAAAAGCAACCCATTTTTCAGGCAAAGTATGATGAGGATGAGGATGTATCAGCCAGAACCTGAAGGGAATTGTGTACTCTGTAAGTTCCAAACCAATATATCGGTATAACTATGGAAGATCACAATTTACATACCTCAAGTTGCTCTTCAGTGAAAGAATCTTTTTGTATATTCCATGTATCTGCATGAGTACGCCGGAACTCGGCCACTGCTTTTGTTACTGTAGATTTGACAGGGGAAGGCTCCGAAACAAATTGAGCCAGTAGAGTCACATACTCAGGCAACCAACTGAAACAGATTATTAAAATTCAATGATGTGACTTTTCCATTCTAGATGAAATCAAAATGTCCACATTTTTTACTTGAACAGCAAAATGTATTGCTTTCATATTTCATTCTCTGTTCTCAAGTCCATGATAAATATGAATGCTTAATAAATGGGCCCATATTACTTTGACCATAATATCTAAAGTCAATTCTGTTGATTCAGAAGGAAAAAAAAAGGACGACACCCCATCACTGAGGGCCCCACAGAACCGACTGACAGTTATCTGGGAGGATGTACGTTGAGTTATGGTCACGCTCTTACGGAAAGAGAGTGGGGTTCCATCTCAAGTCATTGCTTGGAGTTGAACCCAATTATGTGGATTCAGAATGATGTCTAGTTGTAAGTTCAATCATATCTAAGTTTAGGATTATCTATTAGAACCAAATTCAAGTTCTACAACTGTTATAAGGACTACAATTTCCGAATTTTAAAGTGTCCATCTTGTTTGACTGAAATATAAAAAAAACACAAACTAGCTGTTGCCAGCAGAACTCTGAATTTGGAAAATGGCTATTAGAAACCCAACCAGGCAAATCTGGCTCTTCTACTTTGTTCCAAGAATGTCCCACAAAATAGTGCCTAGCTCTCTTACTTACACAGCTAAGATAAACTCCCATACAAGTGCGAATTTCCATTAATAACCTCGGGCTAAGGGGGCCAACATTGTCTCACCACACATCCAGTACTAAAAGAAAACTGATAATGCAATAACAAGAATGCGCTTTTCTAAAACAAATCATTAAAGATGCTTATTTTGATCTACAGGTAAAATACAATTTGGACACACCTGGGCATGTCATAAGGGACTGATAAAACACAAGCGGCCAATGCAAGTATCTGGCCATGTATGGATGCTACTGACTGCCCTGATGATCTTAAGCTTCTGCAAATGCGACAGTACATTATAACTTTGATTCTTAATTTATTAATATTATATACAGTTCGAGAATTAAAGGGGTGCTTGGGCACACCGGATAAGGTGTTGTCATGTGACTGAGAGATCATGAGTTCAAGTCTTGAGAACGGCAAACCGCTATGCTTTGCGAGGGTTTTGGCAATTACACAGTGAAATGCAAATTGCACACCCTAGTCCTAACTAACTTGTCTATAATCCCTTTTGGTCATCATCATCATCATCATCATCATCATTACCCCAGTGCCGCAAAGGCTCCCACCTTTGGTAGGGTAAGGGGGGTCGGATGTACGCAGTCTTACCCTTGTACTAAAGTACATAAGACTGTTTTCGCATGACCCATAGTGAAAATCGCGTCGAGAATTGCATTACCTGACTGTTGCTTCATAACAAAGAAGCATAGACAGTTTAGTGAGTCATTTTGCTTTATTCCATCGTATTCCCAAACCAAAAAATAGTGAGTCTTTGGCTCCATTGCAAATGACGGAAATTACATCCCTTTTGGTAATATGTTAAAAATTACATGAAAATTGTTGTCTGATGACTCTGATCAAAGTCGACTCTTTTCTAAACAAGACTCTGAGGATAAGGGGATTGTAAGGTTGACTTTTTGAGGGGGGGAAACACCGACCTTCGTTTCCTCTTATTCTGAATGGCGCTTGCTTGCTTGAATGCTCTACTGCGAAAGTCATTGGCAAGATCTTGATCCCCACCCTTCATAAGGCCAGCCAAAACAGCTGCAGCATGCTCTCGTACCTGAAATAATAATAATGAAAATAATAATAATAATAATAATATTAATAATAATATCACATGACAAGAAATGAGGAGATTCATCATGTAAACCTTCTCATTAGAGATATGTTGTTTGGTACATGGTCCACATTAGGGGTGCAAAAGAATCAAGCCACTCCGCCAAAACTTGACTTGAGCTCAATCAAACTCAAACTCGAGCCGGCTCGTCAAGCAATCGAGCCAAGCTCAAGCTCAATTCCTTTTTGCTCGAGACTCGCAAGCCATAACAATTTTTTTTCTTTTTGTGAAAGCAAATTTTATTATTCAATGATAGTAAAAAGAAAAAAAACTACATGAATGAACCGAATGCACAAGTAAAAAGGACGTAGCATTATAATAAAAAAACACATCAGCAACCCAAGTCGTAGATCCGAAAATTGCAATCCAGGGCTCCAGGCAATCTGTAAAGTCACGCACGTGCAGCTTGCACCGCAGAAGCCCATGTTCCCCTAATCTGCAGCCCATCTTGACATCAAGTTTCCCCGACTCTCAGGCCCAAATTCAACTCTTCGCACCTCCAGAAAATAGCCCCGGCCCGTCCATCGTATTGGAAACCTAGGTTCCCACTCCGCCGAACCAAGTTTGCATCAATATGTGGTCTCACCAGTCAAGGAGTCAGACATCTATCAGCATGTCAGGTACATCCCATCATTCAGGTCGTTTTATCCGGCTCAAATTCCGGCACTGCAGTTCAAAGCGCGCGATTTGATTCCTCAGGACCAGACCTACGCAACTTTTGGTCATCCGGGCAGAAAACCACCATAGCTGTCGTCTTCTCCAATCAACACAGACTTTCGGGCTTCACCTCAAACTATCACCCCACTACCCCTAAGGCGGACCAAGAATAGGCCACCTTGGGCTCCACCGCATGAGACAACACCAAGAGATGGATATCACCCTCCAAACCCAGCGCCCGACCAACTAAGGCCATCTAGCTGCAGGCGCCGGAAGCTTTTGCCATGGAGGTTTAAAGGCAGAGCCAGAGCAGAGGGGGTCAAGCGTGAGGACGCCCAGCATCCACCATAGACAGTAATCCCCAGCCCAAAGAAGAAACCAAAACCTCATGTTCAAAACGCCCTGTATCGGTTAAATCTACGCGATAACACCCTGCGAATAACCTATCTTAAATCGGCGTACCGATATCAGCAGAGCCGGAAATCTCTGAACGCAACTTATCCCTTAAGAAGAAACCAGTAGCATAGCTTAATGGAGACAAAGCTGAGACGTGAAACAAAAGCCCGGACAGAAATCCTCCGGCGGACTCGCCGGTGGTGATGCCGACAGAGCCGCCGGAAAACACAAAGTTCTCCTCTTTTAGGCTCTCATTTTTGCTTCCTTCTTGCCATAACATATATACAGACACATACGGACTTATACACACACACACACGCAGGGGCGTAGACAGGGGTAAAAAATCTCGTGTAAAATTTTTTCCAAAAATATTCTTTGTACCGGCCCAGTGTCCTGGCTCCGCCCCTGCACACATGCATATATGTATTGTGGAAACACTGCTTGTATTGGGCTTAGCCCATTTGTGTATAGAAACCCTAATGCTCTAATATAGCTATAAATATGATACATTAACGGGGGGTAAAATTGACAAAGTGTATATCACGAAGAAGAAAAGAAATATGGGAGGACCGGTTATTGGGGATCACGCCTCTAATAACTAACTCCTGGCCACCTGGGAACGTGCAAGGACGTGGGTACGTGCAGTGAGAGGCGCAGAGGGGATTATAGCGGGCAGGGAATCTGGGAGTTGGCAGACTGGAAATTGGCTTGTCCTTAGGAGAGTGGGGACTCTGTAAAAACCTTTTATCCTTCATCCATGTTTTTCTCAGTTTCTTATTTGTAATTACGTTGATCCATACTGATTCAGATTGTTTCCCTTTCAATATTATCAATACGACGCAAGACCCTATCAATTTGGTATCAGAGCGTGTGATCCTGCGAGTGGATGGTAGCGACCAGGGGCGGGATGGAGCACCGCATGGACAACATGGAACTACGTGTGGGAAACTTAGAAGGATCAGTGAAGCAGATCCTTGAGAGCATGGAATCTTTTCACGCAGAGTTCAGAGATTTCGCGAAGAGGAAGAGTAGTGCGAGGGAGGACGAAGGGGAGTTTTCACCGGGCGGAAGTGGAATAACTTCACCGCAGGGGAAATCCGGAGGGTACGAACATCAAGGGCGGACACGAGGTCGCAAGCTAGAGATTCCCGTGTTTAATGGAGACGATGTGCATGGTTGGCTAGTCCGGGTCGAGAGATATTTCCGGGTCAACGAGCTGCAAGAGGAGGAAAAACTCGACGCAGTGGTGATTGCTATGGAGGAAAGGGCCCTTAATTGGTTCCAATGGTGGGAAGAGCAGACGGTGGAGAGAACGTGGCCGGAATTCAATGTCGCGGTGCTGCGGCGGTTTAACCCGGGTGCATTTATTGATCCGATGGGCCCATTATTGAGGTTGAAACAGGAAGGGACTGTTGCGGACTATAGGGATCATTTTGAACTCCTTGTAGCTCCATTGAAGAAGGAGGAACGCACCTTACTTCCCAGCATCTTCAGAAATGGCCTCAAGGATGAAGTTAGAGCGGAGTTGCAGCTGTTTAAGATCACTGACTTGGCAGACTTAATGGATCAAGCTTTGGTTGTTGAAGAGACGCACCAAGCTCTGTTTGGGAAGGGTATTGGCGCAAAGGAAAGGACGGAGACCAAGGACAGGACCTATACTCCTAAGTTTCGCAGCCTGTGGGATAACAACAAAGACAAAAAGGAAGCTGACCGGAAGGAAGGGTATACCGGGGGTAAAGGAGGAGAAGGCTGGAAAGGGAAGTCACTAAGCCAAGCTGAACTAGAAGAAAGAAGTAAGAAAGGGTTGTGTTTTAAATGTGGAGATAGATGGGGTAAAGGGCATATCTGCAAAATGAAGCACCTGCGGCTGATGTTGTGTGAAGGAGGAAGTAGTGACGAAGAGGAATTTGAAGAATGCGAGGTTTTAGAAGAGTTTAAAACTCTACATCTATCTTTGCAAAGCAGAGCAGGGATTGCTACCCACAAGTCCTTCAAGGTATGGGTGATGATTGGAGGCAGGCGAATACTGACCTTGATTGATTCGGGTGCAACCAGTTGTTTTGTGTCCCCAGAGATTGCTGAGATTTTGAAACTGAAAATCACTGAGACGCCAATTTTTGTCGTGGAGGTGGGAACCGGGGAACAAATCAGAAACACCGGGGTATGTAACAATGTCTGTTTCACAATCCAAGGGATAGAGTTCCATCAGGACTTTTATCTGATGGATCTGGGGGGGACAGAATTGGTATTGGGATTGGATTGGCTGGCTGGTTTGGGAAACATAGAGGCAAATTTCAGAAACTTGAGCCTTAAATGGACCAGGAATGGGCAGAAGTACATCATCCATGGTGATCCATCTCTCTGCGCAGGGCAAGCCTCCTGGAAAGCCTTGTGGAAGGCATTGCAAGACAAGGGTGTGGGCTTCATAGTGCAGCAGGAGGAAGGGGGTAATACTATCAGTACTGATCCTCTTTTTTCTGAATTGTTGAAGGAATTTCAGGATGTATTTGACATGCCTGCCGGGCTCCCACCACATCGCGAACATGATCATGCCATTATCTTGAAACCGGGGGCTGAGATACCCCATATCAGGCCTTATAGATACCCATTTTACCAAAAGAATGAGATTGAGAAGCTGGTACGGGAGATGTTGCAGTCCGGCATTGTGAGGCACAGCACTAGCCCTTTTTCCAGTCCAGTTTTGTTGGTAAAGAAGAAGGATGGTGGATGGAGGTTTTGTACCGACTATCGGGCACTCAATAAGGTAACGGTACCTAATAAGTTTCCCATACCTATCATTGACGAATTATTAGATGAACTCGGAACTGCTGTGGTGTTCTCTAAACTGGATTTGAAATCGGGTTATCACCAAATTCGAATGAGAGAGGAAGATGTTCACAAAACAGCCTTCCGGACCCACGAGGGCCATTATGAGTATTTGGTCATGTAGAAAATGTTACATTATTGTAGAAAATGTTACATGATTTAATTTGGTGTACATACTTAGCCGAATAGATTAGAATAGAAGTTGTTATTAAGAGATAAGCTTGTAGTTATCAAGATCCTATTTTTTAGGATCTACACTAGCTGATTAGTTACTTGTATATCTGTATAAATACTCTGGCCGATTGGCATATTCAATCAATGAAATCAATTCCCAAAACCTACATGGTATCAGAGCCGGCTGTTTAAACACCACAATGGTGGAAACCGAGCACTCTGATTCTTCCCCTCACTCACAAACCCATCATCCTCACTCCCAAATTAGCCAAATGACAAACTACCAGACCTCGGTTAATTCATCTATGCTCATTACTGGACATAGATTGAATGGAACTAATTATCTAGAATGGTCACAGTCTGTCAAACTGGCAATTGATGGAAGGGGAAAACTGGGATACATAACGGGTGAAATAGAGGAGAAGAAAAGTAGAGATGATGGCTAAAGTGTCTGGAGGTCAGAAAACTCGTTGGTAACAGCCTGGCTTCTCAGTTCAATGGATGCATCAATCGCCAAACCTCACATGTTCATGAAAACTGCAAAAGAGGTATGGGATTCCATTAAAGAAACTTATTCAGATCTAGAGAACTCTTCTCAGATTTATGAGTTAAAAACAAAGCTGTGGCAGTCCAAACAAGGAAGTAGAGATGTCATCTCATACTATAATGAAATGGTATCCCTATGGCAAAAGTTGGACCAATGCTATGATGCTGAAGAGTGGGAGAGTGCCAAGGATCTGGCAAGACACAAGAAGAGGGAGGAAAATGATAGGGTCTATATGTTCCTAGCAGGAATTAATAGAGACCTGGATGAAGTTAAGGGAAGAATACTTGGAAAAAAACCTCTGCCTTCAATCAGGGAGGTATTTTCTGAGATCAGGATAGAAGAT